CTGGGGCCAGTTTTGTTCAGTATCATCATCTACAACCTGGAAGATGGAATGGAGCGTGCTGACAGTAAGTCTGCAGATGACACCAATTTGGGGGGAGTAATAGATAAGCTGGAGGGTAGAGCTAGGGTTCAGAGAAACTTTGATAAAATTGGAGGATTGGACCAAAAGAAATGTCATGAGGTTCAACAAGGACAAGTGCGAAGTCCTGCACTTTGGACACAACAATCCCATGCACTGGCACAGTCTGCGGACCAACTAGCTACATGGACAGAGACACAGCTCCCTTCCTCCTCTTCCCCGCCCCCCCCGATAAGCATCTCGGTTTGTCTTATACATACGCATCATCAGAGCAAGCTCGTTGAATTCATCCTGGCCTGTGGGTCGGGACAGTCCAGCTCTCAGGGCCAGTCTGTGCATGCTGCATGGACTCACCCTGCAGGGAGTCTGCCTCCAGCCCCTTGTTCCACATGCAGGGCACACAGACTGGCTCTATACGCTTCATGCAGCATACAGAGCTGGGGCCAGCATGTGCTGTCTGCAGTGCGTGAGGCCAGTCTAAGACCCACAGACAGCACTGAAGACCAAAGAAATAGGCTTCCATGATGTATCTTTGGCTCCCCTGTATTTGAGGACGTTCCCCAGTAATAATTCTATTTACTGTTAATTGTGCTCAAACTTCATTTTAGTGATGTTCTTGGACACCTCCATATTTGAACTGGTACAAAATGAAAAATGCAAGTTTCATTGTGTTTGTGCAGTGCTTGCCCTCTGGTCATAGTTGGGTAAAGTAATAATAATAATAATAAAAAAATGGGAAGATGAATGAATCCTTTGTGTGACATCACAAGGATGTTTTTACCTCTAAGTAATCTCATCTTGATTTCTAAAACTAGTATGTATTCTGTGGTGTTTAATAGTAGGGCTTCAATGAAGCATGGCAATGATATATTTGTTAATGTTCTTAGAAAAGAAACTGGAGTCAGATTCCTGTAGGACAAACTTTTGTTGTATGAAGGCATTTTGAACCAAGAGATATCTGACAGATGACTATTATCCTGCTGGACCAAAGCAAGCCTTGTCAAAGTAAAAATGCATAAAGGCTTATTTTTAGCATTGAAAAAATTGGTGGGAGGTTTCAGTGAATCAAACGATACACACAAAAGTAGTAATTGGGGATCACATATATGCTTAAAATTTTAAAAGCGTCTCCAGGCAGATTGCATAATACCACTATGTATAATTTTAACACTTGAGGATTTGGTTTGTCAGTTAATTTATTGGACTCATGCCTTGGACCTCTGAGTGTTGCAGACTTCCTGTGTGGCATTCAGCAAGTCTCGCTCTGCTTTGGTTGCCCAGGTGAAGCTTTGCAAACGAATTTGTATCTTTGGTTCCTCCAAGCCCCCAATTGCTTATCCCTGGGAAGTTGGTTCCAGATTTTGGCCACCCTAACTGTAAAATATTGCCTTCTGATCTCTAACCTAAACCTGTTCTCCATCAGCTTATTACCATTGTTCCTGGTCACCCCAGGTGGTGCTGGGGAGAAAAGGGCTCTGCCTATTTGCTGCTGATCTCCCCTGATGAATTTGTAGGCAGCCACCAGGTCCCCCCTCAGCCTCTTGCTGAGACTGAACAGGTTCAGGTCCCTCAGCCTCTCCTCGTAGGGCCTGTCCTGCTGCCCTCTCACCAAGCGGGTGGTCCTCCTCTGAACCCTCTCCAGGCTGGCCACATCGCTTTTGAAGTGCAGCACCCAGTACTGGACACAGTACTCCAAATGCGGTCTGACCAAAGTCGCATAGAGGGGGAGTATCAAGTCTCTGGACCGGCTTGAGATGCACCTTTGGATGCATGACAAGGTATGGCTGGCCTTGCTGGCCGCGGTCTGGCATTGGTGGCTCATGTTCATTTTGGAGTCAATAATAACTCCGAGATCCCTTTCTGGCTCTGTGCTTTCAAGAAGGGAATGCCCCAGCCTGCATGTATGCTGTGGATTCCTTCTCCCAAGGTGCAGCACCCTGTATTTGTCTACGTTGAACCCCATCCTATTCTCATCTGCCCACTTTTGTAGTCTGTCTAAATCTAGTTGCAGGCTCTCTCTCCTTTCAAGTGTGTCCACCTCGCCCCCCATCTTAGTGTCATCAGCAAATTTGGACAGCGTGCTTTCCATCCCCTTGTCCAAGTCGCTAATGAAGATGTTAAACAGTGCGGGCCTGAGGACTGAGCCCTGGGGTACCCCACTGCTCACATCTCGCCAAGTTGAGTACAACCTGTCTACCACTACTCTCTGGGTGTGCCCCATCAGCCAATTTTTTACCCATCCAACTGTGCAGGCATCAATGCCACAGTCACTTAATTTATTGATGAGGATGGGGTGAGAGATGGTGTCAAAGGCCTTCTTAAAGTCCAGAAAGACTACGTCCACGGCGACACCATCATCCAAGGATTGAGTTACTTGGTCATAAAAGGCAATCAGGTTGGTCAGGGAGGACCTGCCTTTGATGAACCCATGCTAATTGCCCCTGAGCACGATCTCCCCTGCTGGCCCCCCAGAGATGTGCTCCTTGATGATTCTCTTGAAGATCTTCCCTTAAAATATGGGTTCCAATTTAAATCATACCCGTAATTTGAAGTTTGTGTAAATACAGAGAGCAAGGTCCATCTAACTGAGTGTTCAAAGGTAAGCCTCTGGAACATTTGGAAGCTTGGATATTTCTGAACAGGCCATTCATTTGAGAGCATATGCTAAATCTTTTAGCACCACCTGCTTCTTACAAAAGGAACAAATCCTGATGCAGTCAGATTACTCAGTAACACAAACTTGTAGGGCTATTAATAGAGCTGTCATCTCTAAACGTTCAGTTAACTGATGCACATGTTCCCATAAGGTGACATGGTTTTGAGAGGTGGAAATGCCAAAATGTGCCCTATGATGGATGTATTGTAATAAATGCATAGCTAGTATTATCTTAAAATATAATAATTTATCATATGACTTATTCTTGAGCTGTCGGAGTGGAAGGAGAGCTTGCCTAGTTTTAAGCTGTCTCTCTAGGTTGGAGTGATGGGTTTCAAATGTATTAATGCATTCAAATGCATTAATCTCGTTTCTCCCAACTTAATTTTGTCTACCAAAAAATAAACTTTTTAGATATGCAGGGAAGCAATTCTTATGGCAAGTGAGGACCTTGTAGGTGCTGATTTTTTTTTAAAAAGCTTTTTAATGTAAAGGAGATTGGAGATCATTAGTCTCAAATACTGAAGGCTGCTTTTGTATATCTCTGGTTCTCTTCCTACTTAATAGAAGCTGCTAGAGTCCTAGGGGCCATGCTGATCTTCTACTGAATAAATGATAAATATGTATCAAGTTGCCATGTTGATCTTAGATAATATCTTTTTGATCTTGAACTTCATTTGAAATACCTAAAAATAAGCTGTAGTTTGAAATGAGATACACAACTAAAAGTGTAGGGATAATTTTTTTGATGGGTTGTGCCTTTTCCTGGCTGTTCTCAGATCATGCAATCAATTCAGGAAATAATCTAATCTTGTTGGCAGGAGTAGGTGGCCTTGAGTTCTAGTGCCTTTCAGTTGTCCTCTTTTTAAATTGATCTAATTCTGGCTTTCATTTGGAGGTTGCACAGTTGATAGCATTGGATTAAACATTTGCATGCAGTGCTTAACTCACTGCTTCAGTCTTGCATCCGCAAGTAACAATATCCAGTAAGTGCATGGTTTTATGCTTATTCTCTCCAAATAACCATTGTTGGAATGAGTGAAAACTTAAGGTTTCTCAAAAACCCTGACTTGCAGTTGTCTTACACCATGTATTAACCATTTCAGATATTGTATGCTAATCTGGTATCAAATTTTGATTCTTGGATTGTTCCCCTTGAGTCCAGAAGTTAGACTAGTGATCTGTATCCATTTAACTCGCACTCCCCCTCCCCTCCCCTCCCCTTCTTCAAGAGCTTAACATCTACATTAGATCCTTTCAATTTATTGAAGCCACTGAAATGGGGTAAGTAGTAAGTGTTTTGCATTTGGCAGTACCATGACCACAGTGAATTTATGATGGCTAGTTGCTGTTCTGCAGGTTCTCCCGAAGCATAATTGAAACTGGGGATGTACGAATTGGGTGTCCAGAAGAACTGAACTCGTTGAAAAAAATAAGCCCTTTTCATGAAATACTTTGGCATTCCT